GAATCTCTAGTACTTACAGAGTGCCCGGCACATGGAGGTGGTCAATGAATAGTGAGTAAACGGATGAAGAGATGAGTGAATAAATGCTGCCACGGAGGATGGAAGAGAGAGGCAGTTGCCTTCGAAGAGCTCATGGCCCCATGGAGGAAACAGACAAAAAGTTATTTCAGTATCAATCAAGATGTCTAGAGGGGCACATAACTTGCCTGGGCCCTGGCAGGCAGGCTTCCCAGAGGAAGAGCACAGATGGAGACAGACATGGTGACGTCACCCAACTCCTCCTAACTCCTCCCTGGAGACATACACATCTTAGTTATTTCTGCCTCAGTCCACAAGGTGCCAGGAGAAGATGATGGCTTAATGGTGACAAGGAAGCAGAATGGGGAAGTGGCTCCTGGACTCCGGAAAGAAACTGCCTGGAGTGAAGCCTTCCTCTACCAAACACTGGCTAAACGAACCTAGACAGACTCTCTAACTTCTCTGGACCCTGGTCCTTTCTTCTGCGAGACAAGTGAAAGTGTTAGTAGCTCGGTTGTGTCTGATTCTTTGCGACCCCATGGACTGTAGCCCACCAGGCTTCTCTGTCCATAAAATTGCCCAGGCAAGGATAATGGAGTGGGTAGCCATTCCCTTCTCCAGGGGATCTTGCAGACCCAGGGATCAAACCCAGGTATCCTGCATTGCAGGCAGATTCTTTATCGTCTTAGCAACCACGAAAGCCCCTTACTTCTATGATATGGGGGACAGCAAATAATATCTGATTTCCCAGGGCAATCATTGTTTCCTAGGGAAACAATGGAACCAGTGACAGACTTTATTTTCTTGGGCTCCAAAATCACTGTAGATAGTGACTGCATCCATAAAATTAAAAGATGCTTGCTCCTTGGAAGAAAAGCTATGACCAATCTCGACAGCATATTAAAAAGCAGAGACATTACTTTGTTGACAAAGGTCTGTCTAGTCAAAGCTATGGTTTTTCCAGTAATCATGTATGGATGTGAGAGTTGGACTATAAAGAAAGCTGAGTGCTGAAGAATAGATGCTTTTGAACTGTGGTGTAGGAGAAGACTCTTGAGAGTCCCTTGGACTGCAAGGAGATCAAACCAGTCAATCCTCAAGGAAATCAGTCATTGGAAGGACTGATGCTGAAGCTCCAATACTTTGGCCACCTGATGCCAAGAACTGACTCACTGGAAAAGATCCTGATGCTGGAAAAGATTGAAGGCAGAAGGAGAAGAGGACGACAGAGGCATCACTGACTTGATGGACCTGAGTTTGAGCAAACTTCGGGAGTTGGTGATGGACAGGAAAGCCTGGCATGCTGCAGTCCATGGGGTGGCAGAGAGTCAAACATGACTGGGCCACTGAACTGAACTGAACTTCCTAGGGCAGCAGAGAGGATTGAGTGAGATATGTAACAATATTATGATGCATAAGAAATTTATAATTGGTCATTCAGATGACCAAACTATATATTTCTCATATACACTTGGCCTTTAGCCACAGTTCCTAACTCACATCTTCCAAAACCTTCGGAATTTCCTGAGCTATAATAGCAATGGGATAATATTTAGTCACATCTTTAGTTCCTGAAAATGCTTCAGGGAAGGTGACTTTTGGATCCCACCGAAGGGTGGGGGCTGGTAGCCAGGAGAACCATGTGATTAGAGCACTGGAACTTTCCAGTCCCAGGTCGAACCTCAAGAGAGAGAGGCTGGGGATGGAATCATTCACCAATGGCCAATGATTTAATCAATCATGTTTATGTAATACAGCCTCGGGAAACATCCAAAAGGACAGGACCTGGAGAGCTTCTGGGTCAGTGAACACACGGACATGGAGAGAGTGGTGCTGGGAGAGGATGGGGCCTCCGAGCCCCTTCCTGACACCCTGCCCGACGCACTGTCTTCCATCTGGGTGGTCATCTTGTGTATCCTTTACTATCCTCTTGTAATAAACTGGGGATCTAAAAATGTTTCTCTGAGTTCTGAGAGCCATTCTAGCAAATCTGAGTGGGGGGAGTTGTGGGAAACTCTGATATATAGCCAATCATAGGTCAGAAGTACAGGTGACCTTCAGGACTTGCGGCTGGCGTCCTGAGTTGGAGGGGGTTGTTGGAACCTCCAGTTGCTGGTGGGTCACAGAAAAGCACAGGTAACAACCTGGGCTCGCGACTGGCGTCTGAAGTGGAGGGCCGACTGGTCGGTTCGAGCCCTTTACCTGTGCGGTCTGATGCTCTCTCCCAGTAGCAGTGTCAGAAAGGAGCTGACTCCCCACATACCCAGCTGGTGGCCCCGCCCCTTGGCCTACATGTAAAAGCATTTAGTGCCGTGCCCGGCGCCAGGCGGGCACTGTGCTGGCCTGTGGAGGTGACCACTACTCCCCTTCCATTCTCTGCTGGTTGCTGGCTTTTGGGGGGGGATGGGAAAGAGGGTTGGAACACATCACGCTTATTACTGCAGCCTCTCTGCAGTGGCTATAGGCTATTTTCCAGAAGCAGCTCAAAGCCGGGCAAGGACTATGTTTGTTATTCCTAGCATATTCCACTATATTCCTAGCATAGCATCTGACACACAGTAGGTGCTCAACAAGTATTTGTGAAACAACTGCTCATGTGATTGCATTTACTTCATCCTGGTGAGGATAAATGTACATATTGTTGTCTCCATTCCCAAACAAAGGACTAGAGGACCAGCAAGCTTAAATGACTTGTCCATAAACACACAGCTTGCACACAGAACAGCCGGATTCTAAGGCCAGACCCAGTGCTCCTTCCACCACATGATGCTACTCTGGATTCCTATACACTATGTCCTATTTTCTGAGGATTTTTTTCTAGCCAGTGGGGCCATCCCTGGTTGTGGAATCATCTCTGAATTCTATGACTCATATCTGAATCACAGAACTGTTTAATAGTTGAAAGGACTTGTGATGTCATCTCGACCTCCCACCCTTTGCGGAAATTTCCATGTCTGTCCAGACAATACTTGAATGCCTCGAGTGACGGAACACTCATTTTGTCTTGAATTATCAAGTTCCATGACCGGATTTTATTTAGAGTCAAAAAGAAAGTTCTTTAGCCTGTGGGCCAACAAGGCCTCTTTTTTAAATTTCTATGTATTGGATTTATGCCCTCTTCCTGAGACATACAGAATGGATATGCTGTCCCCTTCACAAGACAGCCTTTCAGATGTTTGTAGACAGCTCTTATAGCCCTTTGGAGAATTCTTTTCCTCGAGATAGCTGTTTTGGGTTCCCATAAGGACTCTGGGGCGATGGCATCCACCCTAGCCCATCTTAACAGGCCATCAAAAGTGTTTTGAGCAATGGCACCCCCTACTGGACAAGGTTTGAATTACGACAAAGCGCCAAATGCTCATTAGGAGGCTGGAGGAGCTTAATCTGTCACTGGGGCCCCAGCTTCTGGTGTGAATAAAACAGCTGCTTAAACAGTCATGGCTTTAGAGTCACACCTAGTTATTTTCTGTGTCTGTCTTAAAGAGGGTCGCTGAAGACTCGATACTCTAAGTTTCCTTACCAATCATGAGGTTTCTGACAAGCTACAGGTCTGAGCTGAGTGTCGAAGAATTGATGCTTTTGAACTGTGGTGTTGGAGAAGACTCTTGAGAGTCCCTTGGACTGCAAGGAGATCCAACCAGTCCATCCTAAAGGAGATCAGTCCTGGGTGCTCACTGGAAGGACTGATGTTGAAGCTGAAACTCCAATACTTTGGCCACCTGATACAAAGAACCGACTCATTGGAAAAGACCCTGACGCTGGGAAAGATTGAAGGCGGGAGGAGAAGGGGATGACAGAGGATGAGATGGCTGGATGACTCGATGGACATGAGTTTGAGTAAACTCTGGGAGTTGGTGATGGACAAGGGGGCCTGGTGTGCTGCAGTCCATGGGGTCAGAAAGAGTTAGATGTGACAGAGCTGAACTGAGCAGGTCTGAGACTTCAAAATTAGAATTCAAAAGCTGTTGATTTTTCCTTAACAAAGAGGTTTGGCAAGGGAGGGGCTTCCCTGGTGGCTGCATTCCCTGGTGGCAATGCAGGAAACCTGGGTTCCATCTGTGGTCGGGAAGGTCTGCTGAAGGAGGAAATGGCAATCCACTCCAGTACTCTTGCCTGGAAAAATCCTATGGGCAGAGAAGCCTGGTGGGCTAGTCCATGGGGTAGCAAAGAGTCGGACATGACTGAGTAATTAACAGTAACACTTCTGGAAAAGGAGATGTGAAAACGGATGCAGTGTGATAGGATTATGGTGATTTTTTCCTTTTTTTTTTTACTTGTCTTTATTTTCTAATATTTCTACAATGAATATTTGTTATTAGGAGGGAAAAAGTCAATAAAAACTTTCATAAAAGGTAAAAGCACACAAAAAACTCCCCCACCCTCCTTCCTCCCTCCCTTCCAAGGCAGTTTATCATGACTTGGGTATCTGGTCTTTAACTGGGACGGGCTGCCACGTCATGGGCAGGAGTGCCTTGGTAATGTCTGCGTGATGACAGCAATGGCCACGGTTCACACTCCACGCAAGAGCAGTCAATGGGACTCAGGCAGTATAACTGGACATTCACAGCCAGGCTTCTTCCCAGCCCTGTCAAGGAGTTTCTCCACGCCGTCCCCCCTACCCTTGACTCATGCCACGGTAAGGCTGCATTTCCTCATCTTACCTTTCAAAGTCTGCCCAGTGGTCATGTCCCAGTCAAGTCTGGACTCCCTATAGCTCTTCACCCGTCTCTCCGCCCTCCCCACTCACTCTCAGCTGCCTGCTCTTCCCTGCAGCTGAGCCTCGAGCAGCTCCAAACGGTATCAGAGAGACATTAGGGATTCGAAAAACAAATCTTCACTGCAACGAAGACCTGCGGACCAGCCGAGTCACTCCTCTCGAGCTGATTCACAGCCACCCAGGCTCTCCTCCAGCCCCAGGGTCCTGGGGGGCTCTCTGCCTCCATTCAGAGCTCTGGGAGCACCTGGGTGCTGAGAAGACTCACCGGGCAGCCTCTCGCTGCAGCACATGTCCAGGGCCCCTCCCTCGGAGTCATCAGCAGCGTGGTTCTCTCTCTCTCACTCCTGCAGCAGGACGAAAAATGGGAGGTGAGGCTGTTGATGAGTGGGGGAATCAAGACAAAGCCCTGAGCAAAGAGAAATAGCCTTCCTTTCTTGCACTGGGTCCTTAGGAATAACCCTGTCCCATTAGGGGGACCTGAGGAAAAGACCAACCTACGGAGGGGTCAAGCTGGAGAGGCAGGGGCAGAGTTTTGCAGGTGTCTTCCACGTGGAATAACCAGCAGCAGCATCACTAAAACCACCATCAGCGCCATATCTCTACCACAGAAGGAGGGCTTGCTTCATGCAAAGCACTTTACAAACTTTATCACACCAAGTCTTCATCAGGACCCCATGAATTAGGGATCATTCCACTTGGCTCAGAGAAATTAAGTAACCTGCCTCAGGTCCACAGCACCTTCGGGTAGAGCAGGGTATGAAATTACAGTCTAGGACTCCGGGCTCACATTTGCACTGCTGTGCCATTCTGCCTCCTGGTTTCTGTGGGTTTGAACCATGGGTGGTCAAGAGGCATCCGGGTGACATACAGTCTGTGTCCAGCCCTCCCCCATGTCCTGCACATTCCCTGTGGCTCAAGGAGTACAAACTGGTATGCAAAACTCTTCTCTAGAAAGAGCTAGAAAAAGTAGCTGTCAATGTATTTGCATATTCTAAATGTTCTATTTCCTTCTGAAATCAAAAAACTCTCTTTATCAGGGTACCTTTCAGGACTATGCTGGGGTCTGGAGTTTCTCCTGTACCCAGGAGACTGGAAGAAGTTTGCTGGAGATTAGCCAGACCCCAGGGAGTTTCTGTGCACTTGCCTGGTGACTCAGACGGTAAAGAAGATACCACCTGGGCATCTTCTGGGTTGGGAGGATACCGCAGAGGAGGGAATGGCTACCCACTCCAGTATTCTTGCCTGGAGAATCCCACGGACAGAGTTGCCTGGTGGGCTACAGTTTGTGGAGTTGCAAAGAGCTGGACATGACTTTCCCTTTTTCCTTTCATTTTTCAGGAAGTTTCTGTAGCCTGACATGTCCTGAGATAACTGCTTTGCTCTCAGGGCCTCTCCTGCTTTGGGAAGGCCCTGCGGTGCAGCGCGGGCTCCAGTGGCTCTGCCTGCCCTTTGTGTCCGACCCCTAGCAGTAGCTGACTGATCCACCGCTGGACAAGCCTACCAGCCTGGAAAAATCAGAACCTCTCCCCTGCACTTTTCAAATGTATTCTGGGGGCTGAACCACAGTAGCCACAGTGTCCTGGAGAGAAGGTCCAGAAACATCTGTTGCTGAGGGCCTTGGAGCTGCTTCATTCCTGCTCATCCTGAACCCTGACCGAGCAACATGCCTGTTAAGACCATCAGATGCCCCAGGATCCTTCTAATTGTTGTTCAGTCACTCAGTCGTGTCTGACTCTTTGCGACCCCATGGACTGCAGCACACCAGGCTTCCCTGTCCTTCACCATCTCCTGGAGCTTGCTCAAACTCCTGTCCTTTGAGTCGGTGATGCCATCCCACCATCTCATCCTCTGTTGCCCGCTTCTCCTCCTGCCTTCTATCTTCCCAGCATCAGGGTCTTTTCCAATGAGTCAGCTCTTCGCATGAAGTGGCCAAAGTATTGGAGTTTCAGCTTCAGCATCAGTCCTTCCAATGAATATTCCGGGTTGATTTCCTTTAGGATTGACTGGTTGGATCTCCTTGCAGTCCAAGGGACTCTCAAGAGTCTTCTCTAGCACCACAGTTTGAAACATCAATTTTTCAGCCCTCGGCCTTCTTTATGGTTCAGCTCTCACATTCATACATGACTACTGGCAAAACCATAGCTTTGACTATACAGACCTTGGTTGGCAAAGTAATGTCTCTGCTTTTTAATACGCTGTTTAGGTTTGTCATAGCTATTCTTCCAAGGAGCAAGCGTCTTTTAATTTCATGGCTGCAGTTACTGTCTATAGTGATTTTGATCCCTCCAATAAATTCCAATATTTTAGCTTAAGATGGTGGGATTTGATTTCTGACACTGGCAGCCAGAAGAAACTTTAGTACTCCCTTGCTAGCATTGTACTTCCAAGAAGTTCAAGAGGTCAGCTGCCTCTCTACCCACTAGCCCTGCAATCCTGCCTCTTGGACGGGTCCTGAGGCTGACTTCAGGCCCAACTGCAAATCTGAAACAGGGAAGGGCAAAGAGGTCGGGGTACAGATGTCCCTTCTGATTCTGATACCTTCTGCTCTCAACTGGCAACTGTTTTACTCCTTCCTCACTCCAGTTGGCAGGATCTCTGAGAATCCAAAACCCCAGGGCCCGGCTCTCCTGCAGAGAGATGAGTGCTATCTTCAAGGCCCTTTAAATGTCTCTGGAGTCTCTCCACTTTCCCCCCTCTGCCACCTACATCTTGGTCCAGGGCAGCATCTCTTGCCTAGATTACAGAGGCGGTCTTTTAACTGGTCTCTGGCATCCACTCAGGCTGGCCTCTGAAACATTCTCCGTATAGTTCTGATATATATGGCTTCGTAGGTTGTGCAGTTTACAACTTGTGCAACTGGATAGGGCAGGCCTGAGCTAGAATCAACTCTTTCACACTTACCATATAACTTGCTTCTTTTAAAAAATACTTGAATGGCAGCCTATTACACTCAAAACAAAGATAATAATCCTTAGATAGGGTTTACCAGATCTTGAATGCTCTGGCCTCCATTCATCCCTCCAGCCTTATTTCATGCCCCTTTCCTATTTAACCTCTGCACTCTAGCTACATCAGGGCAGGCTTTTTTCTACACGGTGCCTTTGCATATGCTTTTCTCCTTGCCTGGACAACTCCCCACCCCCCATCCCCCAAGGTCTACTTCCCATTACTTTTTACTCACAGCCTTTGACAGAGTTTGAAATTTCATTTTACCTTATGCCATTATTTGACTAACATTGGATTGTAAGTGCCATGAGGGCAGGGACCACCATTTGGATTTCATTTATCACTGTAGCTTGAAAGTCTTGCCTGGTGCCTGCTTCATAGCGGGTGTTCAATACATAAACAGACACTCGTTGAATAAGTGAACGTTGCCCTGACCTTCTTGAAAAAAACCTCAGGCCCCTCAAACATGGCCACTATCTGAGCTGCCTTTGTGAAGGCAGATCTTCGCGACGGCACTTGGAACCCTTCTCCCCTGCTGCAGTCCACAGCAGACCAGAATCACGCAGCCGGAAGCCCTCTCATTTAGCAGAGCAGGAAATGAAGGCACAGAAGGGAGGTCTGCCTGGCCCCAGGTTACATGCTGAGTGGGTGGCCAACGGATGGGGATGGAGAACACCTACACCCTACCTCCTGATCCAGAGCTTTTGCTTTCTTTACCTTGAAGAGCACCCTGGCTGGAGGGTAGCCCCAAAGGCCTGAGCCCTGGCTCAGTGCAAAAAGGTAACCCAGGTATATCCAGATACCTCTGCAAGGGGACCCAAGAGTGACTCACAGCTGCTTTCACACCTCAAGCCTCCCAGGCCCCGAGTCGTGTTCAGAATAGCTCAGCCCTGAATGTGTGCAGCAGACTCTATAAATAAGCTTCCTAGAAAATGACTAATTTCATCATCAGGAAAGCAGAAAGAGTAGCACCTCTCATCTGGAGAGGACAATGAAGCAAGAGCCTGCTCTGGGCCCTGCAGTCGAAGGACTCCAGGCAACCTCGCCAAAACCTGCATGTCGAGGCTCTTCAGGGGAGGGTTTGAATTAGATTTCCAAAGGGAAGAGCTGGTGCATTCAGGCTGACTCGAGAAGCCCAGTGTCTGGGCACTCTCCTCCTTCCTCCCAGCCAAGAGCAGAAATAGCTGCTTGCTGTGGATTACTGCAGGTTCCTCTCTCCCCTTATCCACTTCAACCAGCCGGGGACACAGGTGAAGAAAACTGGCCTGTGACCACAGGCAGCCACTTGCTAGACTGGCCCCTCACTGCTACTCTTAGAAACCAGAGAACTCCCGAGATAAAGGGACTTGGAGATCACCCGGCCTATCCCTCCCTCACCGATGGAGAATGTCTGGGAGGGGAAAGAACCTTTCCAAAGCCACTGCCCCATTCAACAAGCGCTCACCGAGCAGCTTCGGGGAACAAGGCAGCAGAACTAGGAACACAGTGGCGAACACGCCAGGCCCTTCCCCCCGCAACCCCCAGTCTTCTGGGGAGATACACAGGCAAACACGATTGCTCCCACACCTGCTTTAATAGGCTGCATGCACATGGTACCTTGGGGAGCTCAGCTTGTGGTGAGGGGGTAGAGGGGATGTCTTCGGCAAGGGGAAGATAGCAGCCAGTTCTTAAAGGATGTTTCTAGGTGGATGAGGGGTCACAAGGAAAAGAACTTTCATGGTGCAAGCAGAAACAGGAGAGGATCCCAGAGGCTCGAGATGGATAGTGTATTTGGCATTAACTGGGAGCAGTAGGTCAGTAGGCTGGGGAAGTGATATAGGCAGGACACAGCAGATGCACCTGAGCAGAAATCCTGCCGCCCGGGTGGGGCTTCCCTTGAAGCAAGAGGGGCCCCGGGCTTCCGCGTCCCTGGGCTGAGGAGGTCTGTTGTAGGAAGGGTGATTAGTGGCCTATGTTTGAGGAACAGACAGAAGACCCAGCTGGTGGTTACCTGATCTGGTCCCAAATGACAAATGGGGTAAAATCCACGTAACATAAAATTCACCATTTAAACCATTTAAAAACATACAGTTCCGGGGTACTTATTACATCCATAACGTTGTGAAACCACCACCATCATCTAGTTCCTGAAGAGTTTCATTGCCCCCAAAAGAAAAGCCGGTACCCTTTAAGGAGTCCCTCCCATCCTCCACTCCCTCGGCCTCTGGCAACCACTAATCCTCTTCCTGTCTCTCACAGATTTGCCTGTTCCGTGTATTTCAACTAAATGGATCTTACAATATTGTAGCCTTTTGTGTCTGGATCCTTTCACTCAGCATAACATTTTCTAGGTTCATCCCCACTGTAGCATGTGTCAGTACTTAATTTCTTTTAACGGCTGGATAAATATCCGACTCCACGGGCAAACTACATTTCACCCATTCATCATCTGATGGACTTCTGGACTGCTTCCACCTTTTGGGTGTTGTGAATAGTGCTGCTATGATTCAAACTTACCTTTTAAACTCCGCTCCCCACTTGCTTATGACTTTGGGCAATCCTCTTTCACTCTGGACCCCTGAGGCTTCATCTATAAAATAAGGTGGTTTAGATCCTAGGCTCCTGGAACCTTAAATGTCATCAGTGTCATTCGTCCATTCATGTGTGAAGGTATTGGTGCACCTGGCGGGGTGCTGGAGACTCGGCCTGGACCAGCCCACCTTATCTTCCAGGAGCTCATGGCTGATGCGGGAGACAGATCAGGTAACGCCAGGGGCTGGGTGGAGTGCTAACAGGAGGCCTGCCTGGGATGGACTGTGGGCACATCACCTCTGCCTGGAGGGTGGGATGGTGGATGCGTGGGTGCTCTTAGGAGGCGTCCTGGAGTGGATGCCAGCTTTGCCCAGGATGCATGCAGAGAAATAGCTGACAGGTTTGGGGAGGGAGGCAGAGGAGTCTTCTCTCTCTTTCCAGGTGGGTGAGGAGGAGCTGGGACGCTGAAGCCAGCATCCCTGGGTGGGAGGCTGAGCCCCTAGGAACCTTCTGACCCAACCCCAGGCAGATATGCCCTTTACCTTGGGTTTCCTGCTCCTGGGGCTCTCAGAGCTCGCTAGAGCAGGGGTCCCCAATGTTTGGGATCTAATGCCTGATGATCTGAGGTGGAGTGGATGTAATAAAGAATACATAGAAATAAAGTGCACAATAAATGTAATGTGCTTGAATCATCCCAACACCATCCCCCACATCCATCCGTGGAGAAATTGTCTTCCACAAAACTGGTCTCTGGTGCCAAGAAGGTTGGGCACCCTGGCTCTAGGGTCTAGAAGTGTCCACACGGAGCCTCTACCACCTCCCAAAGCTTGAATCCCATTACATGGCCATGTCCTCAGAACAAAACCTGTCCACTCCCACTTCCAGGCCTCTGCTCATGCCTGATGTTTCTTTCCCCCTCCTTTCAAATTTTACTAATTCTCCCCATCACCTCTTCCATGAAGCACCTCCTGATCTCCGGGGAAGAATTAAGCTCTCCCATCTCCACTCCCACCCCACACCGGCACATGCTCCTCTGCTTCTGACTTTGTTCTGCTGCTATAGTTAGCTGTTTGTGCACCTGCCTCCCCTAGCAGTGACTTGAGAGCACGTTCACCCCGTCAGCCACCCCTGCAGCCCAGGTGTTCAGGGCCCAAGCCTGTTGATGTACATGTTAAAGGTCAGATGGAGGGCAGTGGCAGGGTCGTTGGGGTAGTGGTTTTGAGGGTTCTGGGTGGGCAGAACCTAGCCAGGAGCTCCCCAAACTGGAGAAGACGGTCACGTCATGGCCAGAAAGGGACCCAGAATGCCACCCAGGTTCTCATCAGCATGTTCAATGTGCAGGGGCAGAGCACATGCTTGCTTCATGGAGAACCAGGCTGACCGCCTCCTGCAAATGAGCCTCGTGCTTTAGAGTCGGCAGGTGGAGCGGCCTCGCCTTCCTTCCTGGGGCGGTGGCAGCGAAGCACATAGGTGCTCGGTCAGCTCCTCATCACCATCCCCTAATGTCCAGATGGGGAGAGGTGCCATCTGCAGTCAAGGCAGAAAGTTTTCTCTGGACAAAGCACACAAGACATGAATGGAGAAAAGAGGCCGGCTTTAGGATATCCCCAAAGGGAAACCGAGGCAAGGGAGATTAAGTACTTGCCTCAGGCCACAAAGGGTGTGAACAACTGTTTTCAGGTGGTTAAAAATCCTGATTCCCTTTTGGGAGTTGCCTCTCTTTTCCCCAGGTGCTCTGCCAGTCCCCTGCCACAGGGAGGGCCCAAGACCAGAGGTCAGTTACCTGCCATCCTGTGTCACACCCCAAAGCCTCCTAACAAGGAGTTTGTTAGTTTCTGTTGCTGGCAACCCCAGTGCTCAGACTGATGCGTGCAGCAAACTCGTGGATCAATAGGCTCTGAGCCCAGGACTCCCAATGCTTAGTTCACTGCTATTTCCATCCTACCAAGCTGCCTACCCTCCCTGCCCAGCTGTCCACTGTCCAGCCATCTGTCCCCACGTCTGAGCAGACTGCAAACTCACGAGAGCTCTGGATCCCAAACACAGGGTCTGAGAGTTCTCTGCTTGGGATGTGCCCTGATGAATGATGACAGCTTCTCCACCCTGCTCTGATGGTGGGGGTCAGTGGCATGGGCGTGGCAGACAGCCAAGGGGAGGGGAGACGAAGGGGTGCTGGACAGGCCCAGGCTGCAAAGGGGTGGGGGCTGGGCAAGATGGAAAGGTTTTCCATCTTTCACATGAGTCTGATTCAGGGTCTGGAACACTCCTGTGTTTGACTAGTGATGACCAAACACCTACTATGTGCAGGCCACAGGGTGAGGCCCTGGGGATACAGCAAGGTACAGGCTCTCAGAGCACAGAGAGGGAGCACAGGGAAGCAAAAGGCAATGGAAGACAGGTGGCCTGCTTGATGGGAGAAGCACAGGGTGTGGGGGCTGCTGGTGAGGCCCCGAGACAGGCAGGAGAGTCAGGGAAGGTTCCCAGGAAGGAACTGATGAGGAGGCATGAAGGAGGGGTGGGGGTCAGGACTTGTGGAGTGACAGAGGGGCAGCTGGGGTGTTCCAGGCAGAAGGAAGGCCCGTGAAGGGGCCTGGAGTTGAGAGGAAGCGGGGCTCGCTCAGACGGCTGGAAAGAGATTCAGTCTGACCAGGGCACGTGGGAAGGGAGTGCGGACAGGGACATCTTCCGAGGTGCTGATTTGTCATGTTCTTCCTGTATGTTTTCCTCCTCCCTTCCCTTCTTTCCAGAGACATAAGGCAGACCTTAATCTTTACAACAGCCCTAGAAGGAACATACGATCATTACCTTGTAGTTTCTAGATGAGGAAATGGGGATTTGGAGAAGTCTAGTGACCTGCCCAAGGGCACACAGCTAGTAGTAACAGGTCGGCCTCTTGCTGCCCATAGTCCTCAGCTCTCTTCCCTTCTGGCTTTTGGTGTTCGTTGCAAACAACACTCTGAAAATAGGAAGAGAGTGAACATGAACAAAACGGCAGACTACAGCAGTTACCTTGTGCGTGTTCTTTGAAACAATCCTCACCTAGTTCTTTGGGGGCAGCACCCCCATTTTACAGATGAAGAAACTGAGGCTCAGGTGGTGAAGTGACTCGGCTAGACTCATACAGCAGGTGACTTAGTGAAGAAGCCCGGGGGAGACTCCTGTCCCCAGGGCTCTGAAGGAGTTCACGACTGCAGGGCCGTTACCTCGTATGTCCTCCCCAGTAACAGAAGGAAGCCCTGCCCGGGACCCTGGCCTCAGGTTGCTCCACCTGAAGCAGCAGCGCAGAGAGCCCGCCTCGGGAGACTGGCTGGAGTGCAGAGTGTGAGTGATAGTAGCAGCCTTGCTCCACGACTGGAGGAACACACCACTCCATGGCCAAGGGCACAGCAGCCCTGGGCTCTAGTCCAGCGTGTGACCCTGGGCCAGTCACTTCCTCTAATCCGAGTCACAGCATCCACAAGTGAAAATTAAAAAAAATTAATTTAATGACATTTAAGGGCCTTTCCTGAAGGTCTCAAGTTTTGATTCTGGGGGTATCAAGGTTTGATGAGGCAGGGCTGGCAGAGCAGCAGGGAACCAGCAGAGGGCGCTCCCAGCAGCAGGGAAACAAGGCTTTGGTCCATGGGTGGGGCTGAGGGGGGGAGAGGCGGGGGTGGGAGGTGGGGTGGGGGGAATGGGAGCTTTCCCACCCCAGTCAGTGACTGACACAGGCCCAGCTCCCCATGTGGGTCAGTATCTATTGCAGACAGTTGTATCTGTGTGGTGGACAGGAGACCAGAAGATGTGCAATCAGAGTGGGATTTCAGGGCTGAAAGGTCATCTGGTTTAACCCTCTGCCCTCCAAGATTCTGAAAACACCCCCCTTCTGCCTCCTCTTTCTCCACTCAAGGTATACAGTTTAACTTACAAGGAGGAAACAGACAATTACAAATGTGAAGGCATGATCACATCTCTTGGGAGGGGAGTGTTTTTATGTTTCCATTCTGTTAGATGCTTTCTCCTACTCAGGATGCCTTGGAATGCACTTCGCCCTTCAGGGAAAAGCCCCCATTCCCCTTCTCTGCTTGAAAAACTCTTTAAGACCCTTTCAAGACCCTGTTCAAATGTGGCCTCAGCAGTACCCTCCCTGACTCCCTTAGAAAGAACCGGGTACCCCCTCGGTTTTCATGCTCTATTCAGTGATTATTTTTTAATTATTATTATTTTTTTTTTGGCCATGCCACATGGCATGCAGGATCTTAGTCCCCCAACAAGGGACTGAATCCGTGTCCCCTGCAATGGAGGAATCTTAACCGCTAGACAACCAGGGAAGTCCCTCGGTGATTATCTACTGATGCCTGTATCCCCACCTCACATGGAGCTACCCAAACACAAACCTGTGGACTGTAATCACGGCAGCTTCCTTTTATCGAGTGCTTAGGGAGTGCTGGATACGGTGCCAATACTGTACATGTGTTACATCACTCATCTCTCACCATAGCCCTATGAGCTAAACACAGTTGTCAGCCCCCTCCTACACACATGTGGAGATGAGGGCTTGGAGAGACTGAGTCACTTGCTCAAGGTCACCCAGTTGGTAAGCACCAGAAGCAGGCTTCAAATTCAGTTTCTCTCCACCCCAGACCCAGGCTTTACTGAAACCACCAGGTGCAAGGCCTCTGATGTGGACGTTCCTGTTTCCTCACTTAATACTCTGTCTGGCACCAGGAAGATATTCAAGATCTATTCTTGAAAAAAATAAATGCAAATAAGGCTAGGGTTTGAGTGTGTATAAATGGTTCATCAAAAACGCCACAAAACGCATGCTTTGGGACTGGGCAGCCAAATCTGAGTCAAGGCTCCCTCGTAGACTGCCTGATCTTAGATTAAGATAGACGTCTCTGCAGCGCAGTTTCCTCATCTGTGAAATAGGGAAAGCAGTGTCTACACTTCAGAGGGTCTCAGGGAGATTGAGTGATCCTTACATGAAGTTTTTACACGAGATGCATGTAAAGTGCTTAGACAGGGTCCAGTCAGCTCTTAGAAAGGCTATCATCATATACTGTGTCAGGCGTTGCCTGCTTTTCAGTTAATACAATCCTTCTGACCCATAGGTGAGGTTCATGGAGGCTCTGGAATGAGCCTGAAGTGAAGTGAAAGTCACCCAGTCGTGTCCGACTCTCTGCGACCCCATGGACTGTAGCCTGCCAGGCTCCTCTGTCCATGGATTTCTCCAGGCAAGAAAACTAGAGTGGGTAGCTGTTCCCTTCTCCATGGGAATCTTCCCAACCCAGGGATCAAACCCAGGTCTCCTGCATTGCAGGTGGATTCTTTACCCTCTGAGCCTTGTGGTATGCGAACAAACGGGTTCTCAGAAAATAAATAAAAATTTTTAAAGCTATAATTTGTGGCATTTGCCAGTTTCCCTGGTGTAAATGCTCCCACCATGGCTGATGTCAAGCTGTGAATGTGAGGGGCCCTGCTGCCAGTCTTGGAAGAGATCAGAAGTTTGACTCAAACGCTTGGTGCCTCAGTTTCCTCATCTGTAAAATGGACCAGTAGCACAGAACGCACTACACAAGTGCTGTTGTTGCTGTTTAGTCACTAAGTTGTGTCCAGCCCTTTTGTGACCCCATGGACTGCAGCCTGCCAGGCTCCTCTGTCCATGGGATTTCCCAGGCAAGAATATCAGAGTGGGTTGCCATTTCCTTCTCCAGGGGATCTTCCTGACCCAGGGAGCAAACCCGCATCTCCTGCATTGCCAGGCAGATTCTTTACCATTGACCTACCAAGGAAGCCCATTTAAGTGTTAACTAATACTATTATTTTCACAACACTTAGTCTCACTCTTGCTCATCCGGCTCTGACACTGGCCCCATCCCAGCACCTGGCCTTCCGCCTGATGCCCTGGCAGGCAGAATCTCTGTCTCGGTCATCTTCCTTCTAGGACTGAGGCTTTGTCCACTCTTGCAGCTCTGCCCCCTCCAAACAAAACTAGAATCCTGACCTAGCCAGCGCTGGTGACATACACACCCTGATCATCACAAATGATTCTGGGCTTCCGATCTCTACCTGCCTCTGGTTTTAGCCCCAGATGTCCCTGATGCCAGCCTTGGGCCTGAAGGCCAGGGCCGCCTGTGCGTTGCTCTGGATTGTCCACGAAGATCCTGTCTGGCATCTGCTCCTCTCTCCATCACCTGCAGAACCACCTCTCACAGGGCTCATATGCACTTGGAAAGGAGGGTGCTGGGGTACAGAGCTAGGGCTGTTCCCACCTGCGGCTAGGGAGAACTCTGGCTCTTGCCACACCTCACTGTGGGGTCTAGTCCTCCATCAGAGCCCCCACCCCCAGCCCCTCAGGTCACCCTTCTGTGCTCGGGTTGGGAAGATGCTGCCACTTCAGGGTTTGGTAAAAGACTCCGGCAAAACTGAGACGCAGTCAGAGCCTGGGGGGGGCGGGGGCGCAAGATGGAAACTGGAAACGTGAGCTGGGTCTGAGGCACCTTTGCTAGGAGAGAGGATATCGTATGAGCCAGGAAGTTGAATGGAATAGGAAAGAGAAAAAAAGAAGCCAGGATTCAAGGCTGAAAAGGGTCTAGAGACCTGGCACCGGGGGAGGGCTCCCTGTCACCACGCTGACCTGCTTCAAAGCTGCCTCTCCCAGGCCCCTCCAGTCAACCCCGCATGGGAGCCGCTCCTGCTCTCCATACCAGACAGTGCCACCAGCTGCAAAGCTGTTTCCTTAGGCTCTGCCGGGTGTCCTGGAGCTAAGCAGAGCCCTGCAGAAGAGGCTACCTTGAGGATGAACGGGGCCTCTCCGGCAGAACTGCTCTCTTCCCTTTGGAGAGCCCTGGGCAGTTTTGGGGTCCCCCAAGTCAGACACAGGGCCCTGAAAGGGCGGGGCACAAAGAGCTGAAAACCCAATTTCGTGGGGTTCCCCAGATCCTCTTCCATCATGAACACCATTGTGCTCACTGTTGCTTCTCAGCCCGCGTCTCCCCTGGTCCTCCTTCCTGGACAGGCCTCCCAGCTCCTCTCCCCTGAGCTGTGGCCAGGGCGGGCCGAAGCTCATGCCACGTCCCGGAAGCCTCCCCAGGGAATCCAGCACACACTGACCTCTCTTCCAGCTGAATTCTCCCCCTAGTGTTTTGATCTGTAACTCGGCACCTGGCCATGGACCACACTCCAGCCTGGGCTGCTGCCTGGCTCTCTTGTCCATAACCTTGACTGCTGTGAGCTGCCCAGGCTGGGGGTGGGGGGATAGGAGATGGGCCTCCTTCTGTCTCCTCCAAGATGGGGAGTCCAGTGCACCGAGGACGGGATGGAAGGCCAAGCAACGTACATCCAGCTCCTTCTGCACATTCAAGTTTGTAAAGAAGATGCGAAGGAGATTAAATAGGAGAATAGAGGGAAGGAAGAAGTGAATGAAAAGGAGTGAAAGGTGAGGGAAGGGGACCTATGTGAGACTCAGGACCAAAGTCACAAGAAGACAGATCCAGGCTGCCTTGGCTCATGCTTTAAGGCTTTCTATAGATTACCCTTGATTATGTAGCTCTGGTTCAACAGACTCCTCTTTGAAAAACCTTTGAAACTCACCTCCTCCAGGCAGCCTTCCTTGATTGGCTCTACTCTTTTGCCCATCCCCTTGACTCCCTGAACTGTATCACTTTGCACTTATCAATGTCCATGGCTTTCCCATGAATCCAGATCATCTAGGCAAGGGCTGGAGCTCTCTGCCTCACTGTAGTGAGTTTAATGCTACATTTATCATTTGTGGTCATAGATTACATTTTTTTTCCCCACCACCTTTCTTTGATCAATTTCAGAGGGTGGTTTGGATATATTTTGCACAGCTGTTTGAGACCCAATTTGCCTCTAAGTAATCTTGAGACGGGACCTGCTATAATCTTAAATCTGTTTCTTTTCTATCAGGCTCTGTGTGTTGGACCTGTGAGGATATACAGATGACTAAGCCCCAGTCCTGCCCTCAAACCAGCTTGCAGTCCTGTGAGCAGAGTTGAATAGGTGCTAAATGTCAATGGAGGCTGTGGGACATGGGTGCCTGGGAGGGCACAGCGGGAAAATCCAGGAAGCTGCACAGGGAATTGATGTCTGAGCATCCCAAGGACCAAAGGACCAGGAGAATTCACCAGACCGCGCAGAGGGTGCTCCAGGCAGAGGAGACTGCAGCGGCAAAGGCCCGCAGAGGCGAAAGGGCAAGGCGAGCTGGGAGAAGGCCCCTCCGTGTGGCTGGACGGTGGGCGGGAGGGGGCCTCGTATCTCACGGCTGAGGGCTTCGTGTATCCTGCGAACACACACAGACTTCAACTCACAGCCCACTTTCCCATGGTAGGATAAAGGCAAGGACTGCCATTCTAGTTGGCATTTAGAGATCTGCATGTGTCGGGGAGAGTGGGGGTGTAACAATACAGATGGATTTCAAAAACTACTGATGACACAAAGACCACACGCTACCTGAGTTCGTTTATACCAAGATCAAGAACAGACAAGTCATCTCCAGTGACAGACGTGGCGAGGATGGTTCCCTCTGGGGGCGGGTACTGACTGATGGAGAAAGAAGGAACTCTGAGAGGTGATGGAAACATCCCACATCCCCATCCTGGTGATGGTTATTCCACTTCATATAGTCATCAAAACTCACTGAATGCAACGCTGAAGGTCTATACATCTTCCTGCTCATAAAACAGACGTTCAAATGTGTGTGAGCATTCTCGGTTGTCATGATGACTGAAGGGTGCTCCTGGGAAATATCCAGAGGAGTGGCCAGGGATGCTGTCATAATAAAGAACTCCCCACCTACAGACCAGCAGGGTCCTTGTTGAGAAACACTGCAGTAGGCCACAGCGAGCTACAAGGGATTCAAAGAGCAGAGAGAACTGGCAACTTCTGGGTTCTGGGAAGGCGGGGCTTTGAGGTGATGGGAGCCCACGGGTCCAGGTATCTTGGGTGTGAAGTGATACAGATGTGGATATGTGACTTCCACGGCCACTCCTGGGCCTTGTATTTGGCCAACTCCAGACCTGGGAGGCACCCTGGGGTGTCCTTCTAAGGCATCCCAGAAGGGGTTGGAAGGAGGGCAGCTAAGGGAGTCAGAGGCAGCAAATGCCAGAGGGAAAAGGACATGCCCCACGCGGGCCTCCCTGCCTCAATAAGCACCAGGGATGCTGACTCCGAGCGTCTTCCTCTGAAATGTAGTCTCAATGCAGTTGGAGCTGGGGTTTGGGGGCGCCCTGGGAGACCAGAGGCACAGGAAGCAGGGCTGGATGCTGCCCCTGCTCCTACCAAAACCCATGATCTGAAATCATGAGCCACAGAAGAACACAGCCAACTTCCACCAAAATGCTCACCTGACCCCTTCCTTCAGGAAGCTTTCTCTGACCTCCACGCTGGGCAGGTGCCTCTCCTGGGTCCCCACAGTCCTCAGCTCATCACCAGAGCACAGTTACACACCTAGGTGTGAACTCCTGCTCTGTCACTTACTTGCTGTGTGTTTCTGGCAAGTTACTTAAGCTCTCTGAGTCTTTTTCAATACACTGAGGACAATAAAAACTTTTCTGCAATGAACCGTGATAAAAGATCAGTGAGATAACGTAGTAAGCACTCAGAAATGTTAGTACTTGTGGCTACCATAGTGAGCATCTGTACAGACTACTGTAGCCTGGATACTCACTGGTGACCCCAACAGATACACACAAGTTCCTTGTGGGCAGGGTCCCCATGGCAGGTTGATTTCCTGGCGCAGTAAATACCTGCATGTGTGAATGAATCCCAACTCTGAAAGATCTCTCCTGAGAGCTTTCTTTTTCCACCCACGGTGCCTCTAAATCACAATAATTCTTCAGAAACGGAGGGTGGATTCATTTGTATTCTGTTCCCTTTTCTCTCTTCCCTCCAACGCCATGGAGAAACCTACACAAAATTTACTTAGAAAAATTAATGGTTTCTTCCTGGACCCTCCACTCCTAAGACGTGATTTAGTGGTCTTTTTCGATGAGTACACAAAAATCCTTAATAAAAACCACCCTGTGGTTCCTCAAAAAGTTAAATAGAGATGTATCATTTGAGCTAGCAATTCCACCTCTAGGCATGTACCCCAAATAATTGGAAGCACGGGCTCAAGTAGGTACCTGCATGTCAATGTTCATAACAGCATTATTCACAACAATCAAAAGGTAGAAGCAATCCCAGTGTCCATCAACAGATGAATGGATGAACAAATGTGGCATATACATACAATGGACTATTATTCAGTCTTAAAAAGGAAGGAAATTCTGACACATGTTACAACATAGATGAACCTTGAAAATATGCTAAGTGAAATAAGTAAGCCACAAAAGGACAAATGGCATATGATTCCACTTATACGAGGTACCTAGAATATGTGAATTTATAGACAGAAAGTGGAAAGAGGTTATCAGAGACTGGGGTGGGGGGAATGATGACTCATTGTTTAATGGGTACAGAGTTTCAGTTTTGCAATGTGAAGAGTTCTACAGATACATGGTGATGATGGTTGTACAACAGTATGAATGTATTTAAGGCTACTAACCTACATACTTAGAATGGTTACAATAGTACATGTTATGTATTGCTTCCTAATTTAAAAAAGGCACCCCAAACCAAATCATCAAAACACTGGAGGGACTCCATCTGAAATCTGACACCCCTCTATCCCACCCTTAATGCCTGTGACTCCGGCCTCCTGGCCCATAATCCCCCTCTCCATCCTCTCCTTGGCTCTAGCTCTGGTATCCACTGTTCTCTTTCCTCCTCAGGAAACAGGGCCATGTCATCAGCATCCATGAAATCAACCTGCATCTGTTCACGGTCAACATGTTCTTTAACCTTCTTCTCCTCTTCCCCCTCCCCAGCATCCCCATCCTGTCCACCCTCTTGGGGATGGTTAAATCAGAAGCCTTGAGGATCTGGTCATATATGAGCACAAAAGGTCATATATGAGCACAAAAGTTATGAGAAAATTTTAAGTAAAAAAATGCTGAGTACAAAACTAGATGTGGACTGATTTAAACTATTAAAAGGTACAGATCTGCAGAAGAAACAGAATGGGTTAAAGTTACAGAAACAGAATGGGACAAATAAAATCATGGTTCATCTTACATTTAATTCTACAGTATACTTCTATTATTTTTATGGTATAACTTATTTTTTAAAGACTGGACCACTCTCCTAGGCAGATGATGAAATCTTTGGGTCCACTCCAGACAGCCACATGCTGCCCACCACTGAAGTCCACGGAATCCCTCCTGAGTGGCTTCCAGAGAATTGGGGGGAGAAAAAGAACATTTCCGCTCTTAAGAAAAACATCTTAAAGCTTGGTACAGTATGTTTCTTTAGGTCTCTCAGCCAATCATCTCATCACATGAAGGTCTGCATGTTGCCATCACAGTAACCAGATATGGTCAAGAAGTTGATGCCCTTCATTAGGTCAAAGTCAGGAATTTTTACTAAGACACTGCTCGCTTACAAATTGTGGATCCCCTGTGTCTAGCTTGAGGGGATCCCTTCCCAACTCAATGTGCTGCACCCCAGCTATAGAAACTTAAATCTAGACTGTGTCAAGGGGGGACACAGGAAGGAAGATGGCTCTGATTCTATGTGCCACAGTTGAGTGGGAAAAGCTTTCTTCTAAGAGTCTGGGATTTCTGCAGCTTTGCCAGACATTGCTGGCCAAGGTACTCATCCCACACCTCACCAGATGCAAAAAAGATGGAGATAATATTGAAGAATGGGGGAAGACCTTATTTTCCACAATGCCACAGTTGATGGTAAGGAAGCGCTTTTTGGTGATGGTACTGTGCAAAAATTAAAAGGGTTAAGTGTTTTTTTTTTCCTTCAGCCGACCTGAGTTTCCAGTTCCTAGAAGTAACAAGACATGTAGAAATCAGATGGAATTTGGACCAGGGGACCTAGAGAGAGTCTATGCTTCTCAGATTTAGATTACCTGTCAACTTGCCCCCTCAGAAGGTCCAGCCTAGTATCTGGTTCTGTCTGCTTGATGGAAGCATCCCGTCTCCTCTGTGACAGGACCACTTGTCTGCCTCCCATATATCACATCATCTGAGGGTCACAGGGAGCCACACCCCCACACTGAGACACTGGTCACCATCCTCCGGGAAGACAATAGTGTGGGCCTAAGATATCACAGACCACCTGCTTAATGCCTCAAGGGCCCTAGAAACCCAAGACTTACCTCCTAGAGACAGGGAAACAGTTTGGGAGAGGGGACGGACTTTGTCCCAGCTCACTTAATCACAAGTAAGCTTTGGACTGAACAGATATATATACATGGATAGCTATGCCAACCCTCCCTGGTAAGAATCTCTCTCCTGGTGTGTGGGTTAAATTTTCGGTAAAAGATGCCATATATTTTGAAATGTTCACACATATCCTGTGTTCAACTTAATGCAGAAAAAATGCTTTAAACGATTAACCATCTTCTGGAGTTTTTCCATTCCTACTTGTAGATCCATTTAAACAATTAATTAGGTACTTGAAGAATTTATACTTCTATAAATAGTTTCTCTCTCCCCACCACCCTCTCTGCCTTCTTTGGAATCTGTCAATTTATTGAAGAAGATGATTCCTTGTCCTGCCAATATGGGCCTTTGTGCTTGAGATGAGTTTCTTTAAAATCTCTATAAGGGAAATGGCTGAGGGCATGAGTTAGTTGCACAAGGGAAAATCTGAAATAAAACCAAAAGGTTGTATATTTGCACAGGAAAGGTGATGAGGGAAGACCATAAAAGGTTACCATTTTAACTGTATTACAATCATTTCAGGTATGTTTTACCATTTCATCTTAGTCAACAGTCACACTGAATATGCAGACATGACTCAAACTTTCATACCTGAATGATATCACAGATATTCAGATCATCTGAGCTTTATCATTTTGATCATACACAGCTTACTGTACCCTTACCTGACTATGCTACAATATCTTTATTTAGCCCAAGATATGAGGCTTTAAGAGAAAGAGAAGGTTAGACAGCATCTCAACTCAATGGACATGAATATGAGCAAACTCCGGGAGATAGTGGAGGACAGAGGAGCCTGGAGTGCTGCAGTCTATGAGGTCACAAAGATTCGGACACAACTGAGCAACTGACCACCACCACCACCACCACAAGCTGCCTATACAAATGGTGATTTCCTACTTGTTAGACAACTGTTTAGTGAGCCACTGCTGAGAGTCAGGCTTGGTTCTCTGGGCATGAAACACACATGGAGAATGGGACTTTAATTCTCTTGGATCCATTAACATCATGCGATTGCTTATTACTCAGGCCTGTGTGATCTGGGCCTGCCCCTCTCTCTAGTTTCCCTTCCCACCCTCCCTCCTGACCTATGTTTTATAGCCACACTTGCTGTTCCCTGAAAACACCAACCTATTCTTACCCAGGGGCCTTTGTACTGGTGGTTTCCTCTTCCCAGAATCCTCTTCCCCAAGGTCTCCTGCTCACTCCATTCAGGACTTGCAAAGGACTTGCAACGTTTTCACTTCCTTGAAGACGATTCTATTTAAAGGTAAAGTTCTTCCCCCCAGTCACCCCTCACTGGGTTGTATCTGTCTCCAGAGTGTCGCTCACCTCTTGAAATGTTATCCTTTGCTTATGTTTTCTTTTCTGTCTCCCTTGGTAGAGGTAGTTCATCTTTTTTAGCAATGCGTCTACAGAGTCTAGAACAACGTCGCGCAACAGATGTTTCTATGTGAATAATGAATGAAGCAACGGGTTTTGGACAGTTTGGGGTGCTCGGTGAGCCAGCTTTGCAGGAGCTGTTCTGGTGCCCTGTCCGATCATGGCCCCCGACTCCCGGGCTGCCTCTCCCCCTTCCTGTTGGACTCTGCGAATGGATGCTCAGCCACTCAGGTTCCAAGCCTTGCCATGATTTCTCATTCCTCTCTTCTCTCCTCCCATATCCAGTCCACTGCTGATTCTGGCACTGTGGCCTCTGCACCAAATCCTCCTTCTCCTCATTCTTACAAACCTCCCCTGCTTCCACCCCGCCCAGACCCTCCTTATGTCTTACCTATAGGACTCTCATTGTTTCCTACCCGAGCTCCATGCCAGCAGGCTTTCCCCCTCCAATCTGTTCTGTGCAGCCAGAGTGAGTTTCTGAATGGCCACGTCTGATCACGTCTCTCCCCTACTCAAAAACTAAAGGCCGAGCCCTTGGCTTGACACTCCTGCCCCAGCCACTGTCTCCACGTTCCTACCCAGCCTTCCTTCTCACAGCTCCTCTTTTATCCTTTTTGCTCCAGTGGGAATGAACCACTTTCCAGTTTCTTTCTTTTTTTTTTCTTTTTTTTTTTTCACTTTCCAGTTTCTACACTTGTCCTAGAAGCCCCTACCACCAGCTCTCTGCTCTTGCTGTTTTCACTACTTGTAATATTTCCCTCCTCCCTTCCACCATACAAATCATGCAGACCCAGCTCCAATGCTACCGAGCTTCTCCAAGAAGCCACTTCTCATCTTCAAGAAGAATAAAGCCTTCCTTCTCAACTCTGTCCAAGGGATCAGCTCTCTCTTTCAGGACAGGTTTCAGGAAAGGAGAGGCAAAGTGACACAGAAGAAAGAGTTCAGTTTAAACTCTGAGTTTTAACTTCCCCATCTATAAAGTGGGAATAATAACACTATTGATATCATAAGATCAAATATGTAAGTGACAGCCTGTAAAAAAAGCTTTGTATATAAGTGATCAAATTCAATCACCCTTAGGCATGAAATAACTGATAAACAAAAGTGCGCCTTCTCCTAGGAAGCTTCATGGATGTCCTATGCTGGCTGAGCCCTAAGTCCAGGAATAGATCAGTGGAGGAGGGATTTTTTTGAGAGACAGGGCCTTTCAGGATCTAAAATCTCATGTCCTTGAGCAATCTTTAAGAAGAGAAGAAGTAGAGGGTATATCCGTAAGGCCAGGGCCTAAATGGTATTAATAGCTACCTATTCGGAGTTTTTCCTATGCCCCAGGCACTGTGCTAAGTACCCTACATAAATGATCTCATCATAGAGTAATAGAAGAGGAAAACCAGGCCCACAGCAGTTATATAAATTAGTGCTTCCTCCCTCCCCCCACCACACTAACAGTTCAGACCTGAAAGCTATCCTGAAAATCTCCAATCCAATGATCTTATTTTTTTGGGTGAAGAAATTTAGACCCAGAGAGGTTATAAGCATTCACTGAAATTGTCCAGCCAGGAAGGAGACCTGGAACCCAGATCTCTTCACTCTGAGGGTGAGAGACACCGCGTTGCAATTGCAACTCAGGGGCCACCACTCATTATGAAGTCTATGCAAATGGTGCTTCTGGAGCACTATGCCATTTACATACACAACAATATGAGTGGTTGCTCCTGGAGAGATGCCAGCTGGTCACCCTGTCTCTGCTCCTTGCCAGGCTGCTCCCTCAAGAAGGAAGCTCTTGAGACAAGAGCCTCAGGCCCCTAGAGACTGAATATTGCCCTTGCCAACTCCCCCATCCAACAGTCTTTTCAAAGGTGACTGACTTTATCCATTCACCAGCCACCTTGCACTCACTCCATCAACACACCTCTCAGGACACCCCTCTGCACCAGACACTGGGTTCAGCTTTGGGGACACCCAGCTGCCCTTGAGGGAGCCTTGCCCTGAGCCACCACCGGAGCCTGATGGGGCTGTAACTCAAGCCCCCTGCCCTCCCCCAGCAGCTCCATCAGCAGTACCAAGAGGCGGCACGCAACAAACATCAAGAAGGGAGAGATGGCCGGACAGGAAGGCCCTGGAGGCCTCTGCAAAGGGATGATGAAGGGAGCTCGGTTGGATCAGAAGGCTGGGGCTCTTAATGAGCAGTGGCCAAGTGGGGGTTGGCATATCGGCAGGTCAAAGTGTTGGGGGGGGGATGGCTCCTCAACCACAACACCACCTGGTCCAATGAGGACGCTGGTTCTGTGATTTCCGGGGAACAGGACTGAGACCCTGGAATCTGATCTCCTGTCCAGGTCTGCTTCATTCTCCCACACTAAATCTCAAACCTGGAGTACCTGCTTAAGAGAGATCTCCTGTGAGGCTGAAAGAGGCAAATTGAAGGCCAGCCTTTTTTTTTTTTTTAACAGTAAATATGGTAGCCAATGAATGGCATCTGCCGCTCCAAGGGGGTGAGGGGGGCAGAGCTGGAATCACGAAGACTTTACTGATACACTGGGGTAAATGTTTATGTTCTAGGGTTTCGGTGAGGATAAGGATGGAATTGTATAGGAGAGGAAGTAAGTCTGAAAGCCAGGGACGCTAGATTCTAAGGCAGGCTTTGCCTTGAACCCTCCTGTGACCTTGGTCAAGCCACCTCCCTGGGCCTCAGTTTCCCCATCTGTAGAATGAGGGGGCTAAATGAATTCCCAGGGTTCACCTGGTCCTGACCCTCGAAAGCCACACAATCTCTGGGACGGTAAGCCCCTCAGAGCTCTGACTCGAGCAATCTCCAGGTTTTGCAGGAGTCTGGGCCTCAGCCGGCCGAAGGGGCACGCTGGGGGATGGGAACGCGCTGGGCTTTTATTTTGGGGGTGGGTGGGGGAACTGGTGGTTTAAGCTACACGGTCGGGGGAGGCGAAGCGAAGGCTGGGAGCCACGGTTAACAAGGCCAGCGGGCTAGCGGCGATCTCCAACCTCCCCCCGGAGCTTCGGACCCTGGAAAGGTAATGCAGGCAAGAGCCGCGCACCCGCCACGGCAGCAGAGGCTCGGACCCGGGACCGCCATCGCGATCCCTCCCCTCTCGGGAACCGCGCACGAGCTTCGTGGGGAGTGGCTGCTGCTCCCTCTCCTCTCCCCAGCATCGGGTCCCCTCCCGGGCGTGGAGGACCCCTCCCCCAGTCCGGGGGCGTCGGGAGCCCCATGGGGGCGTGGCGGGGGCGGGCGCCGGCTTCTCCGCCCGGGGGTCTGGAGGAGATCTCAGTTGCCGGGCCTCCCTTGGGGGGACCCTGCGCCCTCCACCTCCCAGCTCCCCACACAAAGGCGCCGACAGAGGCGCCGCACTTACCGGCCAGAGGGCTCCGGGCGCCGGCGAGCGGGCGGGCAGGCTGGCGGGAGGATGTGCGCGCGCGAGTGTGCGTGTGTCCCTGTGTGTGTCAGCGCGAGTGTGTGAATGTGTGTATGTGACGGGGACCTCGCGGAGCTCTGCGCGTCTGCGTGTGCGGGGGCGTCCGTCTGTCCGTGGGTCCGTCTGCCCTGCGCTCTGTCCCGCGCTCCGTGCGCGCTCCCTCGCCGGGCCGCCTCGCCAAACGGGCTTCGGCTGCAGAGTCTCGGGCGCAGCCGCCGGGTCGCTCGGCACCCTCGGCCCCGGCTCCGCCCCGCCCCCGGGCGGGCTTGCGCGGCTCCCCGGGAATTGCGCAGGGCCCGCGGGGCTGGCGGGCGGGGGGGCGGGGAGCTCCGGCGGCGTCCGGGGCCCGAGTCGGGCGGGATCACAGACCCTTCATCCCTGCTTGACCCTGATCTCGGGCGCCTGCACCCCGCAACTCCGCTTGGAGTCCCCGCAGACACTGCGCCCGCGCCGAGGTTGCCTGGACAGGGAGGGCGGGGGAGCGGGAGCACCGCATCCATTTCATTCATGATTTTCTCCTCTCGGGAGCCCCGAGGCCCGGGCCGCGCCGCTACGGCGGCCGTCAGAGGGACCCCGGCAGGGTCGTGAGCACCGAACCCGGTGCAGGGGGGACAGGCAGACGGACGGGGGGCAGGGGAAAGCGAGACAAAGGGGTCACAGCCGGGGCTGGGGGGAATTGTATGGAGGGGGTGCTGTGGCGCTCCCCGCATGACGCCCGCAAGCTGTCATTGCCAGACCTGCACAAGCAGAGTGGTTGCAAATGCGGGGCGCACCAGGGCCGGATGCCCAGGACCTGCTCCCGCACTGTCGGTGGAGGCACTCGCCTTACCACCCTGCCCAGTTCCGTCGCTGAGGAGTAAAACCTGCCTCCGCCGGATCTCCCCCTCCTGCCGCGCGTCATGGGGCGTGCATCTGTCTAGGCTTCATGGAGGGGGGCACCGCGGGGCCGGAAGTTCAAGGAGCTGCCCACGCACCCCACAGTCCCACATTCCTCAGGCTGGCGCCCCATTCTGTCCCCACTTTTTGAGATATTGGGAGACACACAGGGCCGGGATCCTAAGCTTCGTTTTTACAGGGGGGGATGCCAAGGTGCACCATCACAGAGCTACCACCCTGATTCCAGCTACCGCCCTCTTTCGCCTGGAATCCTACAACAGCCTGCTTCCTTCCCCGCTGCCACCCTTGGCCCCCTGCACGGTCAGAGCGAACCTTTGAAAACCTAAGTCAGATGGCCTCGCTCCGTTACTGCAAACCCTTCAATGGCTCTCCACTCATTCAAGGGAAAGCTCCAGCCCCTGCAATGTCCTGCAAGGCCTCCCATGAGCTGGCTTCCTTTTATTTAACTCTGACTTCCTACCACTGCAGTCACAGGGGCCTTTGTAGTGCATCACCAACATGGTAGCCACCCTGTGGCCTCAGGGCCTTTGCACTGGTATTTTCTCTGCCTGGAAACTTCCCCCAGATAGTCACATGGCTTGCTCTTTTACCTGTTATAAGTGTCTCCCCAAACAGGCTCTGTGACCACTCTATTTTAAATGCACACCCACTCCCCTCATTTTCTCCATGGTAGTCATGACTTTTGTTTTGTGTTCCCTGCCCGCAAGGTTCGCTGGCCCTTCACTTCCAGCTCTCACCTTAGGCCTCTGGCATCCTAGTTCTCCAGCCTCACCACACTCTTCTCTAAACAGACTGCATTTCCCCATTTCTAGCCTTTGTTCAGGCTGTGCTTTCAGCCTGGAATTTCTCCATCCTTCAGCATAAGGCTAATTTTCCCCAAACAGTGTCAGTGTAACATTAGCAGCTACCATAATTGAGTGTTTAGTATGTGCCGGGCACGGTTTTGTATGGAATACCGTCCCCTCCATGTCTTACCTAATTTTTAAGTTCCAGTTCAAACACCCCCTTCTCCATGGAGCTTTCTCTCATATTTGCAAGTACTCAGCCCTCATTCCTCTGTTTTCTGTACCAACGGTGCCTTGTCTTTTTTTGTTGTTGTTTTCTAGAAGGGGCACAGAGCCCAGCTGGGTCTTATTATCCTCAAGTAGTTTCTTGTGGGATAAGGGGAAGGACTAAACGTCAGATCAGCAGGCCACGATGCTTGGTGTGTCTGAAAGCATGGGTCCACGTGTCAGCCAGTGCTCAAGGACCCTCTTTCTCTCCCAGAGAGCATCATCTCCGTCCTTCAGCATAAGGCTAATTTTCCCCAGACAGTGTCAGTGTAACATTAGCAGCTACCATAACTGAGTATTTAGTATGGGCTGGGCACTGTTTTGTATGCTTCCAGTGTTCTTCATGGTGACTTCGTGAGGCAGGCATTTTGATATCACTGTTTTCAGAAGAGGAACCGGAAAGAGATGACTTCCTTACAATCCCACAGTTGTTATATGAGGGGTATGTGTTTCAAATTAAGATCTCACTGATTCCAAAGCCCAAGCTCATAGAGCAGAGACCCTGGTGGCTGATGTGTGAGGGAGCCTTAGCAAGGTCACCATGGCCCAGGTTTTTGCTGAAGCCAGCTGGGGCATCACAAGGGCATGGCTCTGGGGTTGAGAGGAGACTTTGCTGTCAGTGGTACCTGGGATGTCCTATGGTGGAAGCTGGTTGTTGCCCTTCATAAAGTCAACTTTGGAAGGCCAGAGCTGCCTCCTAAGCATTCCTACCTATGTGCTCTGGGTTCATAGCCCAGCCCCAGCTGTCAGGTGTGGCTAACAATGCCCAGGTCAAAGGGTTATGGCGAGGAAGGAACATGATAATATACTTACAGGATAGGAGGGGATCAAAAATGGTCTTTCTCCTTTGGTTCTTATAGGGAGTTTCTGTCGCTTAGAGATATACTCAAACTTGTCTTCTACCCCTTTTCTCCCTTGTGCATCCTCTTACTTAAATTTTCCAGATTCCTGTAGTCCATTGAGCATTGCCCTGGGGTACAGGTAAGGAAAGAAAGCAACATTTATTGAGGGCTAGCCTTGTTACTTGTGCGCACTCTCCTTTCTTCTTCGCAAACCCTTGAAAAGGGAGGTTCTGTTGTTACCAGTGAGGACATTGAGGCACAGAAAGCTCAGAGGACTTCCCTGTGGCTACAGCCCTCACTAATTAATAGCAGTAATGAGATTCTAACCTACATCTGATGCTGCACTTAGCCAGCACCTGTCTTCTTCAATCTCATCACCATGAAAAGCATCTCCATCGATTTCCTTTCTCGTCTCTGATGGGGAAGAAGGAGTGTTCTCTAAGGTCCCCAGCAATGAGGTAGTTGTGAGGTTGGGAGGATTTAGGCTTCCTGAGTCATTCTGTGTGACTCACTTACCCTCTCTTGATGGAGAGAGGCAGAGGGGTTTGGGAGAGAGAAAGATGGGCTGAGTAACCAGAGAGTGTCTTGCTGGTGGTTTCTGATGGACTGTTAGAGTCAATATTTCTTGCTTTTGACTTCTCTTCCAATTCACTCCATCAGTAATGAAATGTTTTGCTTTGGTGAAAATGTTCCCCTCTCCAGATTTTTATTTATTTACTTACTTATATATAACCCGCCCCAATCCACAAAGGATTTGAGGTTGCTTACCACTGAAGTAGAAACCATAAAACAATGTTAAAATATCAATAGAGACAGAAGCAAAACCGGGGAAGATGTAAATAAACTTTGAGAGACAAGACCAAGGCTTAATCATTACAGCTGATGTTTATTGAGTTCTTCCAGTCTGCAGAGGAACTTGTGTACCTTATTTCATTTAGTCCTTAAAAGAGTCCTACAAGGTGGGTGCTCTGATTATCTGTATTTGGGGCTATAGGGAACCAAGGCTCTGTGAGATTAAATATGATGACCAAAGTTATGTAGCTAGTCAGTTATAGAAAAAGTGAAAGTTCAGTCACTCAGTCGTATCCATCCATTTGCGACCCCATGGACTGTAGCCTATCAGGCTCCTCCGTCCATGGGATTTTCCAGGCAACAGTACTGGAGTGGGTTGCCATTTCCTTCTCTAGAGGATCTTCCTGACCCCGGGATCGAACCCAGGTCTCCCACATTGTAGGCAGATGCTCTACTCTCTGAGCCACCAGAGAAGTCATAGAGCCAGTCTTTAAATCTAGTTTGGCTTTGGAACTCATGTCCTTAACCACTGTCCTGTCCTGACTCTCCAAGGGACAGAAGACTACACATTTGCTGACCACTCTGGATTCTTCTAGTGTACTGGATTTGAGTCTCATATTTGGTTCTGATTTTCTTGGATATCAAAAAGGAAGGGAAACAGCAAGTTAAATAGCTCTAATACCCTCACAGCCTTCAAGTCTGCTCAATGTCACTTTCTCAATGAGGTCTAGCCTGACTCCTCTTCCAAATTCATACTGGAACCTGCCTCTTCCTGCTCCCTTCAGCAATCCCAATCTCCTTTTGTCTTTGCTTTTATGATGACACATTTTATCTTCTAATGTATTGGATGCTTTATTAACTATATTGTGTATTTCAAATATTGCTTACTTTTTGCAGCACACAGGAAGTTCTACAGTATCGTCTATAATAATAAATTCATTTATGAATTGCAAATTAGATACTTCATATGTTTAATATGCTCATTGTTTAATTGTCTTCTTCCACTAGAATACCATGGGGAACATCGTTTTCTGTCTGGATTACTGTTGGATCCCAAGTGTCATGGACCAATACCCGATATATAGCAGGTACTCAATAACAGTTTTGCCGAACACTTAAATGATAATTTCAGAGAGGAAGGAGAGAACCATGTATCTGAAGTGGCAAAGTAGGTCATTTTTTTTAATGGCTCATGTTTTCTTTCTCTTCCTTTCCTTTCTCATTTTCTTCCTTTTTCTCTACTCGTTTCCGTGATGAACTCGAGGCAGCTCTAGCACTTAACTCTCAGAGCAAGTCTTCGGGAGGGTTTTCTGACTGTAGATCCTGCCCTTACTGTCATTGTTATAGCAAACGCATCAAGGGATTTCATGATGCTGATTTTGATGGAATCTTTTGATGAAAAGATGGACATTTTCCTGACATCGAAGTCTGCAAAGGCAATCCTTTTAAGGGGTCTAAGAATAGTGTCTAAGTACCATTTCCAACGATTTGGGTTTTATAGCAGATCCTGTAGGGATGGAGATGGGAAAATAAAAAGTGGAGTTTTTGTGTGAAACAATTGATTTAAAGGGAGGACATCCTTTGTGTTCCTAGGAGCTCACCTCTGGAGTCATATTTCCTGGCTGCAAGCCTGAAGGGTGAAAAGCCAAGGTCATTAGTGAGGTTTATCAGAGGAGAAGCTGAGCTGAGACCAATTGCTGGGGTGCGTGCAGGTGAGGGTGTGATGTGAGCTTCCGAAGGAGCTGGCCACAGATCTCGGGCAAGCCTCTGAGAGCCACAAACACAGGTGTCATCTCAAGGTGACAGCCAAGGGCACCTGGCTGCCAACCCCAGGAAGAAACATCAGAAACACTTGAGTCAGGAGGAGTGAGAGTTGGAGCTTTGGCTTTCCCATGGGCCCTGCTCTGGGCACCTGCAAAGCAGATTTATTCAACAAATATTTTCGGGAGCACCTACTCTGAGTTAGCCATTGATTCAGAAGCTTGAGTACATGTTAGGGAACAGGACAGTCAGCTTCTCTGCCCTCACAGAATTTACATTCTGGTGGGGACACACTGTCAGAGAACTGGGTGGAAACAGAGAATGAAAGGCTAACTTCAGGCAGTGGTAAGTGCAGTGAAGAAAAAG